TCATGAAAAGGAAGATGATTATATAGAGGAAAATTATCTGATATTTATGGATATCAGATTCGAAGTTGTTCGTTGTCTTTGAGGTTTTGTGTTCTACCTCTAAACTGGGCTGAACTCTGAATTTTCCTAGTTCCCCTCCAATATTTGGCTAGAGCTCTCCAAAAGCTAACATTTCCAATTTTCTCCCACTCTTTTGACTTGGAATTGCTATGAAACTAAAATTGCTCTTTCCCAGAAACCACGGAAGCTAAAGCTGGACTACTTGATAAAGACTTCAGAGAAATCACCGCAACAGCTCATGGGTGGTGCAGTAGCTCGTGCCTATTGCAATGTGGCCACTCAGAAACATCATCAGAAACATTCACATCGCAAACCCGAAAACCTGACAGATGTCTACCCCCTGCCCTCGCCCCATCTGAAGATGCTCACGACCCAACGTCCGGAAATCTTCTCAACAGGCTGCTCTCCGAACTCATAAGCAAGTTTTATAATCTGCTTGAACTATCAACCTTTGTTTACCTTTTATTCCATAGACATGTCTCTCATTAAATTACCTGCTTGCTCACACCATAGAGAAGCCTAATTTAGGTGGAAGCCCTCCTACAGTACCACCTCTTGAAACAAAACATCTCAGGTTCATCCTATCCTAAGTAATCATGAGGATATGCGATTGCTAATACATCGTGCTGTGCCTACGTACGTAAGTTCAAGAATTATAACCCATTTGAGTTATTTAATTGGCTAAATCTTGGCTCCTGGGAACCTCTGCTCTAGAGAATTTTACAATCCTTAGCTATTACTCTTTTTATAGTCATCATATCAACTTCTCCAGTGTGTTTTGTATTCTCTAGGGCTTTACATCGTCAGCAGCCACTCACATGCCAAATGGTATCTGTCAGGATCAGACAACTGGATGAAACCAACAATAACCACAGAAGTGATGAAGATGTTGATTGCATCTTGGCCTGATGATGCAACTGGACAAAAACCTCAAATGTGTGATTCTTCAACCTGACTACATCAATAGTGGTAACACAGAATAACACCATACTAGTTGATACTACTCTCAGCCTGCTAAGAGAATGACCAAAAGGGGGGAATTATTAAAATAAAAACAGAGACCAGTCTTGAAAATTCCCTGAATTGCTTGGGGCGCCTGGGTGGCTCAGTTGATTAAGCATCTGCCTTCAGCTCATGATCCCAGGGTCCTGGGATCGAGCCCCACATCAGGCTCCCTGCTCAGCGGGAAGCCTGCTTCTCCCTCTGCCTCTGCCTGCCACTTCCCCTGCTTGTGCTCTCTCTCTCTCTGTCAAATAAATAAAATCTTTAAAAAAAAAAGAAAATTCCCTGAACTGTAGTTTAAAACCAGTTTAGTCATACAAACAAAGCTTAATTTAGTTTACTTTGCCAGACTAACTTGACCTGGGTCATTTCTTGCTTATACCTCTGAAAATTATATGCAAAACTTGAACTACTTCCCAAGGTTGGTATGAGGCAACCACTGACCAATTCATTTTCATTTAAGGGAATGCTACTATTATAAACAATCTCTGTGAAGAAAGAAAGACACTGCTTTCTCACTATTTAAGCTGCTTTATAACAATAGAACAATGAACCTCATTCCATTTTGGTTCAGTGAGTGCTCCTGGTTGGCAAACTGTCTTTTTGGTGTGTGCTCAATAAACTTTTACTAATTATTTCTCGGGTGATTCGTTGGTTTTACTTCTGCTATTTCTGAACTTTTGACACCTCAACGTGGCTTGAAGGTACATGGGACCACAAGGAAGGCATGAAAAAGAACTGAATTCTGCCAACAATCAATGAGCTTGGAAAAGAACTCCGAGCCCCAAATGACAATAGCTAACCAAGACCTTGATCCCAGCAAGATGCTGAGCAGAGAGCTCGGCCACCTCATGCCAAATTTCTGATGTACAGAAACTGCGGTTAATAAACGTGTTGCTTCAAGACACTTAAAAAAAATTAAAATAATGCTAAGAGGTCCTCATGGCTCATGAAAGATGTTTCCAGCTTTGCCACTAACCCACCGTATGAATGTCACCTAACCCCTGAATCTTACCTCCCACCTGTCAGTTGGGAGAGGGCTGTATTAATATGTACTTGATAGAGTGGTAGGAAGAGCAAAAGAAAATGTGTTTGAAAGTACTTTGCATACCAGATGGAATTGTGTAATTGTAAGTTTTTACTGTAAACTGCCCCCCCCCAAAATCATTGCGTTGATATGAATTCTGCATTTTTCTGTCCACATAGCTTTCATTTTAATTGAGCACACAATTAGATAAATCTTTATCTGTGAAACATTTCCTTGTGAAAAAGCAACATAAAGGCATTTTTTAAATCTAGAAAGACGATGTATTTTCTGAGGAGGTCATTCTTCCCTCAACACACATCCACGAGCTTGAAATGTATTAGTCCCCCTCTTCTCCTTTGGGAGCAGGGGGTCTGGCTGAAAACTGGTCACCCACACTCACGGCCATAGAGCACACACCTCCTCACACCTCCTAAAAAACAATGTCCCTCTGACAGTTGTGATCTCATCTGACCCTCTACGCCTGAGCCAGGACGGAGGAAATGACAGTGTGGATAAACGGTTGACCCCGGACCACACCACCCATCAAGAGCAATGTCATCTTACTGCGAGGAGCTGGGTGTCTGTCCCCTGACCCCCACACCGTCTGGACTGGCAGGGGGCAGGGAGAACAGAGGACACTGCCTGCTTGTTCCGTGCCCAGGGTGACATCAGATTTGCCAATCCTGTCCCGACATTCCATTCACGTGCCCTTGTGGTGCCAAAGTCCCAAGGCCAGGCTGGAATTCAAGACACATCATGCAGGGCGGTGTGTGGATTACTGGACTTGTTTGCTTTTAGTTAAGCAAACGGGACTGGCTCTAAAAACTAAGTCCAGACTGATCAATGATCAGAAGTCTCACAATTCGAGAAAAACTTCATGTTCATTTTATTTGAATGCATTCAGTGGCATTAATGTGAACCACCCCCCCATTCCTCCAAAAAGAAAATATGCCCCTTCAATCATCAAGGTGAACAAGAGACTTCATTCCCTTCTCATCTAAAGCCTGAATTCTAGTTTCAACATACAAAAAAAAAAAAAAAAGGATAGAATTGTATTGGTGAAATTGAAAAACATAGAGGCAGAAAACGGAATTTGAAGCACAACTTCTTTATACACAACAGGAATTCATTCAATAAGTTCATTATTTAGAGCCCCATTTCTTGTTTTTCGCCAATTGACGGATTTAACGATCAGCCACAAATACACATTATAGCACAAGCCGGTAATGTTAAAAGGAGAGGACTTGGATTTAACAATCGCTTTGAGTGTTGACTGTCAACATCAAAGGAGGCTGTGGGCATATACTTTATATTGTAGAAAAGAGGCAAACAAACATGTTGGCATCTGAAGTAAGTACACGGACCCACCTGTAATTCTCATTCCACTGTTAGCAGGATACACACCACCTAGTTATTTCTTGACTAACTTACCCTCCCTCCCTTGCCCTTCTCCTCTACCTAAACCAGGGAGGGACTGGGGTTGACCTCAGGGGGGCCATTTGCCCCAGGCAGGCTGTCAGACACACAAAAGCACGGGTGCTCAATAATTATTTGAAATAATAATTCTCTTACATATACCTCCACTGGCGCAGATAATTGAGAGAGGAGTTCATTCTCTTGGTACTCACAGATAGCGGAACGAAGGCCGGATCCAAATTACTAATGAGAGTGTTGAAATTATTCTGAAGGAGTCTTACATTCTTTTTCTGGCTGCCACTCATCACAGTGTGACCCTTGGCAAGACACGAACATAAACCACTACTTTCTTTATGAAATGGATCTAATACCTACTCCATTTATCTCAGGATTGTTCTCAAAAGTTCTTTAAAAAGTATATGTAAATATATATAAATAAAACAGTATAATTGCTATTGAATTATTTGAAGAAATGAATTTCTTTCTCATAATGTAGAGTTGGATACTATCTTTAGGGTCTAAAAAAATAAATTTATTTTTATCTAACAGATGAAAATAATTGAATTACAGAAAAACCTAATTATAATTCTTCAGATTCACTAGGCTCATAATTTACATAGCAATGAGCTTGCTGCTTGGGCACTGATTAAAATCAGTGCTGTATAAAATGGTTCATTCAATCATTCTTTGGGGATGCAAACTCAAGTTTAGCAAACAATGACACTTTAAAAAAATGAAACAATGTTGACATTCTAGGAAAGGATTAAGCAAATTAAGAAACCATAACCGAAAAATCTTTTATTACTATCTTACTGATTTCCTCAAAACTGAATGATTAGAAAATGGAATTTGACTTACAAGTCAATCCTAAGTCTTTGTCCCCAGGATCATAGTACAACCACATAATGATCAATAAAGAGGCACCATCACCAGTAGATAGGAACGTGAGCTTTCCGTTTTGCAGAAACACAAGTTCTAGTTGGTAACCAACTTCTGGCACTCAGCGTTTGGGGATTCCTGCCTTGAATACTAATTAAATGGAAATGACCTTAAGTTAACCCTAATGTAAATCCCTTAACATTCTTAACGAGGGAATACATTCCTCCAACAGACTTGTGGAAGGTTAAAACTGACCAAAGAGAGCACATAGCCCAAACTTCATTTTGTAGAACTAATGGCTTTGAGGCCTGGCAGCATTTTTTATCAGGATGATCAAAGACCTAAATTACTGGTCATTTCTCTGGATAATGATCAATGCCTGTGCACTGAGAGGGTGGCGTATCCCACTACGACAAAAATGTCTGCAACAAGTGAAGGCGTTATACTTCCTCTTATTTAACAAACAAGGTAGCAAGAGTTATTTCCATAAATGGTATCGCAGATTTGGGTACTTTTTGTAAATTCTGAACCTAGGATTTAAGAGTGCTTCGTTGGTTCCTGGAGGATAAAAGTGAATGTGTCTGGAAACGTGCAGCACAACAGAGGTTAACCACACTTGCTTTCCTGCTCTGCATTTATTGGGGCTACAGAGACTAAAACAGCTATTTTCCCCTCAAAGAATTCGGAAAAATATAATACAACAGCAATTTCTTAAATACATAACAAAACTTTCTGGATCATGAATCAACATGAGATGTAATAGCCTACAGATATCGATTGGACAGCTTTATAAAATGTCACTCATCTAAGGCATTATGAAATTGTTTTCAGAGTTACACATATATACACAGTTCTATATACATAAAGGCATCCATTCATGAACAATAAGTCAAGCACTGTGTAGAGAAGGGTAAAATAATACATAGTTAGATTCTGAATAATTTTTAAGAGACAATTTGGCGTTCCAAGCAACAGTGATTTACATTCAAATAAACATGTAGATTTTCAAATCTAGATAGGTAAAGTTTTCGTGATGCAGGCTACAAGAAAATTCACACTGTGAATTATTTGTTTTTCAAAGGCCTCCTTAACGAAATAGAGATTTCAAGTCCAGAGCAAACACCCATTGCGTGAACAAACAGAATGCCTACGACTCTAAAATTTGCTTCCATATGCCTTTCCCCCTCACCTCCCTATCCAATAACAAGAGAAAAATTCCCAGAAGGGGCAGCAGCTAGATGTCGTGCCCTTCTATCTGTTAATGTTTCTGGATGGGGGGAGGTTATTACATCCAGATTACAATTTGGTGAAGGAGTATTGATTTCTATTTCAAATAGGCTATATTACTCCAAACACGATGATTTTTGCCACGACATCCAAACATGATCACATAGACCCACGTTTCTTCCTAGTACAGAAAGAGAATCACTAGGAGAAGATGGGGCTGACAGACAGAGGAAGGAGACAGGTTAAACTCTCTCAGTGGCCAATTATCCCAGATGAAAACATCAGTCTCTGTTAGCGAAGTTGTCAGCTCTCTCCTTTGCAAACAAAGTTTCTAGCTCGACTGACATCCCGCCCTTTCATGCACCAGAGATATATCTCGGTCTAACCCACCAACCTGCTCCTCTTGATTCTGACAATCTTACACAGGCCAATTCATGTGCTATATAAGGAAGATGTCACGATTTTCCAGGCACTTTTCAACACAGAAAAACTTAAATCCAGTTGTTTAAAATCTGTTTCACAAACAACCCCCCACTCCCTAGCCCCTAGAAAAAAAGTAGCTGATTCTGTTACAGTTTCTCTGTGAGAAGACAAGTTCCTTCAGTTTTGCCAAGGAAACAGTATGGATGTTTTAACTCCAAATTTGGGAGCTCCACCTCTTATATCATAGGATGTTAGGTTACTCGAAATCAGCTCCTGTTTAAAGATTCTTTGTGGAATCGAGCTTAGAAAGTTCACTCGTGCTGGAGGACATTGCCATGACAGACGTTCTTGATACAAAAATGCAAATTCAGCTGAGTTCCTGTGATCCCCTGAGCAGTTATAAATGCCCTTTGCTATAATGAGGCAGTGTTAAGACAAAGCAAATTATTCAAATATATGTACACTTGTCTTTAGACTAATATGAAGTACATCGATCGAAGAGGGTATTCTTGTTCTGAAGCGTTTACAGAGTTTCAAAGGAAAATAAAGACACTTAATATTGAGAAATTTCCAAAAAATGATTAAAAATGTTTTTGGTTGGTTGCCATTCAAAAGTTTTCCCAGAGTTCTCATCTATGTTCTATACACATGGTAAATAAAAATGTACGCGACCAAGAGATGTACTATACATAAATCAGATATCAATATGTACGTGTGAACTAAAGTTCCTTAAATATACACATCCCCACTTAGGATACATTCCATTACATCAACAAAGCATCGTTCTTTAATAATAGGTCCAGGATAGCAGCAATGTAATAACCTAGTTACCCAGTTACCTCAGGAAAGTATGAGGGGTTCTGACAGTCCCTGATGCGGGGTCCCTAGTTTCAAGGAGGGCTCTCTGCAAGCATTTTACATATTCTCATGAAGCACCAGGCTCCGTTGGCTAATCGCAATTATGTAATCCTGTCAATGGAGAAAAAGTTATCGTCTTTTCAAAACCCGTTTATTCAAAATCTGACCAATGGATAACAGGAAAAATAAGTCGCAATAAGGCGACACCAACCCAAAGCATTTATGATACTTGAAGCATTTACATTTTATTTCTTACATTTTTTGTTGTTTTATCAGTGCCTTGTACTGATACTGAAAGTATTTGGATTGCCCTACCAGATGCTGAAAGAGCAATACGACACTCTGCTGAGAAGAGAGCTGTTCTGAGTTGTGTTTGGAAAGATGTAAATAACTGGATTATCAGTGTTTTTACAAATGGAGATGGCATGACATCACACTAGGCGTTGTTTTAAAAGAGTTAGGTTTATGAGTCTATACCTTTGGGTAAGTTATGAACTTGCAACCGAAATTTACATATATAATATGCAAAAAGAAAACCCTTTAGGTTGATTTATAATAAACCACATTCGTCCCAGAAGGAAAGAGAGAATGGCTTCGAGGAAACATTTATTTTACGTGTACCACTGGATAAACTCACGCATGCCCAGTGGATGGAAATTCTAGGTAGGCAGCAACTTACGTGGACTGGTGTACACATGGACTTTGATACTCACTCTTGGTGTGTACTTCTAGGTCCAACTCTAAATGTGGGGGGTGCATGAACACAGAGCTCAGGAAAGATCTCTGTTACCTATGATGAAGATTAACCTCGGCCACTCGACCAGTATTTCATATAAAACAATCCTGTCAAACACAGCTACTGGCTGTAGGAGGAGAATTTATCACCTTCCCAAAGTTGCACTTGCCAAGGGAGAGCTACTCGATCAGACCCCATTGTTTTACAGGCTGCAACCTGTAAAACACTTGGAAGGGACAACTCTGTCTGCACAGCAGTTTCTCCTGCTTGAAGCTGAGATCACACACGGAGAAACCTATTGTGTTTCTGCCAAGTCACTGTGGGAATGCCTGGAACAGCATGCCCAGGAGCCCGCAGAGGCAGAACCAACATACCCGCTCCCCAAGATAAGCAGCCTGCTGCGAGGCGCTTAGGACAATTTCCCCTTCAACAGTGTTATCCTTTCCATCCTATGGGGGGCGGGGGAGTGGGTTTCTCCCGTGTTTCTCGTGGTGGTCAGATCAACACAGAACAGACTCTAGCTGGTCAGTTACAATGTGTGTTGCCAACCACGATACTGAATGTTCACTCGGGCTCCTCGAATTTGGCTGGAACTTGAACAGTCCCAGCGGGATCCTTCCCGAGGATAAAATGACGGTGGGTTCGTTCCTTGTCGGCAATCCCAAAGCTTCCCGACATGCTCCCTAGACACGGCCGAGACTGCAGAACCCGGGTCCTTCTCTTCACACGGGCTCGGCCTTTTCTGTTGCCAAAGGCAGGCAGGCAAGTTCAAAGTCTGGACACAGAGGCACTTTCAAAGTTTGGCAAGGGGGAGGCAAGTTCACTAAGTGGGGCTTTATCACTGTGCTTCTCATTGTAACCCCAGACGTCTGTGGCACGTGGATAGGAGCGGAGGCCTTTAGGTAGTGGATGGGTCGTGCTTTTTCTTCTTGCCCCGACAGGACTTGCAGACACAGCAGATTATACACGGGGAAGCCAGGAGCAGCAAGGGTGAAGTCACCAGGGCAATGATGCCCAATCCCACCAGAATCCCCACCACCTGGAAATTCCGAAGAAAAGCCCACTTCAGCAGTTTGATCTTCCTATATGTATACTAAGCCATCAGCTACAGACTGAATGTTTGTATCCCCCACCCCCCAAAAAATTCCTATGTTGAAACCTCAATGTCCAATACAACGGTATTTGGAAATGAAGTCCTTTGGGAGGTAATTAGGACTCGAGGGCGGAGCCCTCACGATGGGATTAGTGTCCTTACGAAAAGAGACTTCAGAGCGCTTGCTTCCTCTCCCCAGCTCGGCACCAGGTGAGGACACAGCAGGAAGAAGGCCACCTGCAGACCGGGAAGAGGGTCCTTGCCAGAACCCAACCGATCCTGGCACCTTCATCTCGGGCTTTTCGTCTCCAGGACTGGGAGAAATAAGTGTCTATTTTTCAAGCCACCCAGCTTTATGGCAATTTCTTCTAGCAGCCTGAACGAAGACACGACCCCAGGCACATGAAACAGTTACAGTTATGGGACCTTTCAGCAAGTGCCCCGTGTGACCTGAACCGGATATAAACCAGGGAGGCAGCAAGGACTAGATCGGAGGTGAGAGGAAGAAACCGGACGCTCACCTGAGCTCCGGCACAAGCTCCGTGTAACCCCGAATTGTTGCTGTTGGCTCCCTCCCTACCCGAGTCTCCTTGACAGCCTCATAGGGATGCTAACAATGATTCCTAGGCTATTAACACTGATGCCCTTAAAGGTAACGGAGTCTTTCATAAATATGAAGCACTATTAAAAATAAACCAGGGGATGCCTGGGTGGCTCAGGCAGTTAAGCGTCTGCCTTCGGCTCAGGTCATGATCTCGGGGTCCTGGGATCGAGCCCCACATAGGGCTCCCGGCTCAGCTGGTAGCCTGCTTCTCCCTCTACCTACTGCTCCCCCTGCTTGTGTTCCTGCTCTCACTATGTCTCGCTCTGTCAAATAAATAAACAAAACCTTTAAAAATAATAAATAAATTAAATAAACAAACCAACAAACCAGGACTCCCTTTGAACCTGCCACAGAAACACACGATGGCGTGTGCAGAGGGATCTAAGCCTCAGTGGGGGCTCACAGGATTTTAGAGCACTGCCTTTTATATGAAATAGGACTTACAGGGCTTTAGGAAAGTCATCCTACCATTTTTCCAAGAGGAAAGAGTATCTGCCTCGATTCTGGCAGTCACTGGTAATCAGTGGGCTGCTCTGGCACCCTGCCCTCTACTACTTATCCTCAAGGCGATCATGCTCCCCAGAACCTCCCAGGCTGGGATGGGTAAGTAGAGGACAGGGTGGGGAGGAGGATTAGGTGGGTTTTTTAAGCCATCTCGAGTCTGGTATTATCTCCTGCTCCCTTAAAGGTCAGGGTACCTGCGTTCGGTTCCACATCACCGAGGCTCTCGAGTGGCCCAGCTTATTCCTACACGGCCCTTTGTCATAATGTCTGAGGAAAATGTCATTCTGAAAAACAAAGACAGAGGTTTCAGTACACACGCTCTTTTGAACTGAGACATTAACACTAACCACATCGGATCACCTTGGTGGAAGCAAAGGCTCTTTCAGGGAATATAAATGGCGGCCTCCAGGGATTCCAAGGCTGCAATCTTTAGACTCTATCTCAGTAGGTTTACACATCACCAAGTGAAAATGGATCATAATCATCGAGACTCTTGACTGAGTTTAGAAAGGATTGGAGTCCTGCCCAGTCATCTCTGAAAGGTGGCTCCAGGACAGGTGCGACGTGGAATGAGGATCGGGAGTGGAGGGCACGTGAGAAAAAATGCCAGCAGCTGAGATGGGAAATGCAGACATGGGGTCCTGAGAAGGTAACTAACTTGATGTGGGAAGAAGGAGAAGAAAACGACAACAGAGAGATGAACTCTGTTGGGAAGACGATGGCCACACTTTGGACATGTTGAACTTGAGGGACACTTGAGATATCCAAGCCACCCTGTTCAAAAGGCAGCTGATTACACAGATGAGAATTTTGGGGAAGATGGGAATCAGCATACATGGGGTGGAGAAAAACCACAGAAGTAGATGAGATCACCCAGGGAGACAGTGTAGACAGGCAAGCAAAGACAGTGTCAAGGAGGACTACCCTGGGTGGCACAGTTGGTTTTTTTGTTTTGTTTTGTTTTGTTTTGGCACAGTTGGTTAAGCATCTGACTCTTGGGTTCAGCTCAGGTCATGATCTCAGGGTGGTGAGATCGAGCCCCACGCCCAGTGCAGAGCCTGCTTAAGAGTCTCTCTCTCCCTCCT